AGCTGGCTGACCTGAGCCCCTGTCCGTGCAGGTACCCGGTCATCCTGCGGCGCTTCGAGCTGAGGCCAAACTCTGGGGGCCGAGGCCGCTTCCAGGGCGGTGATGGTGTCATCCGTGAGCTGCTCTTTCGTGAGGAAGCCCTGCTGTCTGTGCTGACTGAGCGCCGTGTGTTCAGGCCCTATGGCCTCCATGGTGGGTGGCTCCCGGCCCCTCCCTCTCTGTTTCTGTCCCAATCTGGGTTCCAAGCTCAACCTTATTGGGTCTACCCTCCCTGACTCCCCTACCTCCCCATTCCATTTCTCCCTGGACGCTCTTGCACTTTGCCTCCTGCTGCAGGGGGCGAGGCAGGTGCCAGTGGCCTAAACCTCCTGATCCGCAAGGATGGGCGCACAATGAATCTTGGTGCGAAGACGTCGGTGACTGTGTACCCTGGGGTAAGAGAGTCGCCTGCTGTTTTGCCTCCCCTCTTCAGCCTTTCTACTGAGTTGTATTCCCCAGCCCTTTGAGACTTGTTCTCACTAAGTCACTAAGTTGTCCAAACTTGCTGTGATCCTCCCACCTCAGTCTTCCAGAATGCTGAGATTACAGGTGTGTGCTACTGCACTGGCAGACTCTGATGTTTAAGAGGGCTACTCACTGGGCTTCTGAGGAGGTCCCGAGGAACAGATACTGCTTTGGCTGGGGGCAGAGGCCTGCCTACTCTGAACTTGTACCTGTTGCCCACAGGATGTATTCTGCCTTCATACCCCTGGTGGCGGGGGCTACGGGAACCCAGAAGACCCTGCCCCACCTCTCGGCTTGCCCCCACAATCCCCAGCCTTCTCCGAACGTGGCAGTGTCTATGAATACCGCCGGGCCCAGGAAGCTGTGTGAAGGCCCCTGCAATAAAGCTTTCCTTAAGTCTCCTAGTTCTGGGGTATGGCTGCTTCTGCACTGTGGTCTGTGTGCCCGGGTCAGGATGACACTGTGTGGTCCCCCAGGACAATACTGAACATCCCCTTCTACCTACTAGGGCAGGAGTCAGGTCGAGAGGTGGTCCCAAAGCTGGCAGACCTAGCCACCCTGAGCACTGGCACTTCCAGTGCATGAGGTAGTCCAGCCCCCCGAGGGATTAGCTGGGTGGTCTTCGCAGGGCTCCTGCCTGGTAGAGGTTGCTCCATGGCCCTGAGTTGTTTGGCTCCTAGAATTCCACTTGGCCTCTGTAGCATCCCCAGGAGCTTGAATATGTTGGGAATTAACCCTGTAAGGGGCTGAGGGTGGTGCAATCAGCAGGAGCTTCACAGAAGGGTCATCTCCAGCCTCTCACCCAGGTGTAGTATCAGGGCTCAGGGAACCAGCTGGCGGGGGACTTGGAAATAGCTAAAGAGCTTGTGCCACAGTGGCTCCTGCACATGATGTGCTTGGTAGGCCTTAACCCTGCCTTGCTCAGAACTTCACCTTACCTAGGCAAGTAGTCGGGAGGCTGAGGCAGGAAGATTGCTGGGAGTTTGTGGTCAGCTTGGGCTACATAGTGAGTTCAAGGCCACCCTGAACTGCATGTGAAACCCTGTCTTAAACAAGTCAACAAATAATATATATGAAATTTAGATCACCCAGGGGTATGCTGAAGGCCGGTCTTGCCACTCTGGTAGCTCTTGTCTTCAGACTGACCCAGTTGTACAGCAGTGACAGCTGTATGTAGCATAAGGGCTCATCCTTTTTGAGGGCCAGGGGTATGCAGTGGGGGCAGCCCAGGGTGGCCATCTTGCATCCTGGACACCTGGCCCCCAACCAGATCCTGATCTGTACACCTCTAAGGCATTTCTGGGGATTTGCAGTGCTGGGGTCAGTGAACAAACAGAGGTGGGGAGCAGAGATTCAAGCAGGGATGTGCTGCTGCCATGGAGAAAAGAGTGTGGGTGGGAGGGCATCTCAGGGCTCAGATGTGTGTGGTATAGGAGCCCCTCCATGAGGCACCCATCCCAGATACCTAGCTGCACCCTCAGTGTTACCAATACTCCCAACTGCCTTTGCCCATTTGACCCTAAAGCTCATTTCCTGCCCACTAGCGCACACTGTGGCAGGGGGTTGGGAGGACCTGTATCCAGGCGGACAGCAGGCCCCTTGAGGCCAGTGCATTCTCCTGACAGGCACTGGGCAAACAACAGAGGGTGGTGTGTAGCAGCGGGTAGCATGAGACCGGGAGGAGCCCGCTGCCTAGCAGCTTGAACTTGGTCCCAGGCTGTACATGCAGTGTGCCCATATCATGCAACACTGGGCTGCATGGAGATCAAACACCTCTTGTAGGCTCACAAAGTCCAGATATATGGGGACCCAAGCCATCAGCACTGCATCTGGCTCCCCAGGCTGCAGCTGGCTGCATTTGGTAGTTCACAGCCTGTGGCCGGCCAGCAGTGCAACACCAATGACTTTAGCATACTTTTGCCTATGCAGCAGGTTGCTGAAGCGCACCAGTCTGTCAAGGAGCAGGCACAGATTGGCAGTGAGGAAGGCGAATGCATACACCTGTGCTCAGCAGACCGTACCCAGCAAAACTGCCTCTCGGCCTCCTCAGCCTGCCGGGGCACACCCTGAGAGCCCAGCAGCTCGTTCAGTGCTTACTAGGTCAGGAAGAGCAGCACACAGGCCACACAGTGGAGGACATGCTGTTCCTGGTACAGGAAGGGTGAGGGCTGCAGGGCAGCAGACAAGGGGCCTGTCTGGAAGGGGCTGCATGGCACACAGGGCTCCTTGGCTGTGAGGTGCTGAGGAGACTCACTTCCAGTGTCAAGTCAAATTGTAGGTGAGTCCACATGAGCTCCAGCGGTGTCTCAGGGGTCAAGACAGTGTAGCACAGGCTTTGTGTAGAACTGGGAAAATGGCATGGCTGATACTGCCCAAGGGTTCAGATGCTGGAAGCCCCTCTATCCTCGGTTTGTTTTTTTTTCCGTACCAGGAATCGAACTCACGACGTTGCGCTTGCCAGGCAGGCGCTGTGCCGCTGAGCTAAATCCCCAGCGCCCCTTCTATCCTCATCTGTAGAATTTCAGCTGCTCATGGGAAAAGTAAGAACAAAAGTGAAGGGACCCTGGCCTTACAGTCCTATGTGAGATACTCTGTCTCATCCACCCCTGAAGCTGCAGGGGAACACTAAGGGCTGTACCCTATGCACCAGAGTCTGGGGTACAGGCACACACTGAGTGTGGGCAGGCACAGAGCTGCTACGAGGAGGTCAGTATGCTGCATCTGGCTTCTCACCTGTCAGGAGGGGCCTCAGGCTTCCCAGGGTTCCCCTGGTCACCTCCCCTAGCTCCTGAGTGCAAAGACCTAAAATCAATGGGAGGCAGCTCAATGCTCTGCACCGCCCCCCACCGTCCCCCAAAAGGCTGGCTCATAGTGTTCATTGTCCTATGAGCTTCCACTCTGCAGGGGGTGGGGACTTTGGATCTGCCCTATGATGATGACTCTTGGGCATGCCAACCAGCTAGAAACCAGTACCCATTTGCTGAGCTCTTTGGCATGGCTCCGTAGGTTTCTAGGGTAAGATACTGTTGCTACCAGCTACCAGGCTCTGCTTGTTCCCCTTGGAAGCCCCGCTTCCTAATTCCAGCTCTGAGCCAACACTCACCCTTCAATCTGCCTGGTATAAACTATTTATTGTTGTCATTGTTACCGTCATCATCATCATCATCATCATCATCATGTTTTGTTTTGAGACAAGGTCTTGCTATATAGTCCAGGCTGGTCTCAAACTCTAGATGATCCTACTGGCCCAGCCTCCCAAGTTCTGAGATTCTAGGCAGGCATGCATCATCATGCTCAGCCAAATGCCTTAAACTATACTGCAGATTTGGGTGAGGACTACCTTCCACCCAGGTTGCCGAGGAGATAGAGGGGCTTCTGGTTCTCATCTGGTCAAGCTGGAGCAAGTCCTGACCTGACTGTCCCAGGGGCTGAGCCAGAGGCTGAGCTGTCTGACTAGATCCCCTGAAGTTGCCAGAGGACTAGGGGTGGGGACAGGAGGCTTGGCATCCAGGACTGTGGGCCTTAGTATACTCCACACCCTTCTGTGCTGAACTGTTCACTTTGTAGCTGACAGGATTCTTGTTTGAACCCAGACCCCACCTGCCAGCCTGTTTGACTGGCAATCTCTGGTGCTTTGGGACTCTCCTCAGTTGGCGCCTTTATCCCCACCTCCCTAGCCCAGCCCCTGCCCCTTCCCTCAGGCAGGGACTGCCCTTTTCTGCTTTGTGGGCCAGAGCCCACTCTAGGCTTTCCCATGCTGCCCTCTTTTCCTCCACCCCTCAACCCATCCTATACCCTTCAGCTTCCCGCACCAACCACAGCCCTTCCCATCTCAGTCTAGGTCACCTCCAGCATTCAGTCCGACTCCCAGGCCGCTTTCCCCTTCCTGCCCTGCTTCCCTGTCCAACCTATGTGCCTCAGCCCCTCAGCTGGCAGTTTGGCCTTCTCCAGCTCTGAGCTCCTAGACCTCCAGGCCTCCCAGACCCTGTGAAAGAGGCCTCTTCTTTCCTGACTTTGGGCATCTGGGAAAGGGGCTACCATCTCCCTGGCTGTCCTCTGCCCAGGTTTGGACAAGACTGTTCTCTTCTGGCTCTCTTCTCTCTCCTGTCTTCCTCCCCCAGGTCCTGAAGCTCCCTGCCCGCTAGTTCCTGCCTAGCATGGAGTGAGGGAGGGACTCCCCTCCTTACTTGCTCCACTCCTTCACAATTCCTGTTCTTGATCCAAACCTCAGAGTCTTCACTGCTTCCATCACCAAGGAAAGGAGACCTGAGGGCTTCTGACTAATGCCAGCCAGCTGCCAAGCCTTGCTCCAGAGCTCTCTCCAAGGGATGGGTGTGGAACTCTGAGAAGTGAGGACTGTGATTGTAATGGATTGATAACTGATGGCTGGCTTGTGATCCCCAACTGAACTGAATAAGCGTGGTGCTAAGTGTGGGAGGTCCACCTGGGGATTGTTACCATCAGCATAAGAGGCAGAACTGGAGAAGGATACAGCATTAATTACTGAAACGTTTGTTATCCGCCTGCTTGTTCTAGTTAGGTTCTTGATTCTGGCTCAATAAAAGGTGATTGTGTTTGGTGATCGGCGCTGCAGTCCACGAGGCTGTAACACCCCCGATCCCAGACTTCTGCCTCTCTTGCTTTTCTTGTCTCTCTTACTTTTTCTTATCATCCGTGGGCCCCTCGTTCTCGGGACCTGTCACTATAGTTAGAACAACAGAACTCCACAGCAGGCAGGATGAAGGAGCCTGGTGCAGGGGTCTGGCAAGTCACCCAGAGGCGGCAGCACCCCAGAACAGTCTGGGCCCAGCGGTAGCCTCTGTGGGAAGATTTAATGGCTGTGCACAGGACTGCAGAGCAGAGCAAGCCTAGGCCAGCCGGATGCCAGGGTCACCAGATGAACATTGGCTTGCCATCATCATGTGCCAGCTGGTTGAGGCAGGAGAGCAGGAGCAGTGCATCGGTGAGTATGTTAGGGTGCACTGTCTCCACCAGCACCCGCTGCAGGAAGTCCACGGTGTAGGAGCCACCCTCGGATGCAGCCAGCTCTGGCCGCTCACGCAGTATACCGTAGGCATTCACTAGCTGCTCCGTCAGCGCTGGATGTACCCGTCCGTTGTAGCCCAGACTCTGCAGCTTGTTCATGATGTTCACATAGCGTTGCGTGAGTGTCTGGCACAGTTCCTCATCCAGCTTGTGGTCATTGGGGTTCAGAGAGGCCTGCGGGGAAAGTGGCTGTCAGAGACCTCTGACCCCATTCAGGCACACAGGCAGGCAAGGGAACTGGAGAGCAAGCGCGGCTGAGGGAGGCTGTTGTGTATGGCGGGCCACAATCTGAGGGGGTGCACAAGGAGGAGGTCCTAGGGGAGAGGCCAGAGGAAATCTAGGGTAGGGGAGCCCAGTGGCCTGATCTTCAGGGAGAAGCCCCCAAGGCTCAGTCCAACCCACACAGTGCCAGTGGCTCCCCCAAACTCAAGTACCTAGCCCTATGGCCTGCTCCATCTACCACCAGATATTTGAGATTGGGCGGAGGCCACCAGAACTGAGGACAGGAAGTATAGGTGGGAGTCTGGAGGCATATGAAAAATGAAGGCTTTTCATGTCTCCAGAATTGCCTGGTCTCAGCGTCTATGGGTCTTTCCCAGGCTTCCTCCTGGCTCCTCTGCCTGCTGCCTCTCTGCCTCCTCTGTCAGCCGTCTCCTTTATCATCCTGGGTTCCATCTTGAGAGGGCCTCCTGGTCCCAGCACTGAGGATCCTGGGGGCCTCAGTGCCTGCACATGGCGATCAGCTGCACTGGTTTTGTCTCCATGCACTTTCTCATCCACCACACCCCCATCCAGACAGTGACTGCAAAGGCAAAAATCCTGTCTAACTAGTACTTAGTGTTTCTGTTGTACCAGTTGCCTTCCTAATTAGAGGGAACTTCCTTCTCCTATATGTATTTATTTTAAACCAAGAAGATAAAAAAGAAGTAAAACATAAAGTGGCTGAGGTGCTCAATTTAAGAAAAAGAAGTGACCTTGTTAAGAAGGTGGAAGCCAGACATCTTTTTTTCCAGCCTCCGCTGCACCAAAGCACTTTTGGAAGGTGGCCGTGTGTGGGTGGTGGGACTTCCACATAGAGGTGAGCCCCTGAAGTAGAGCATTGATATGGCATTACTTTTTCAGAGACATCTGTGCCAGATTGGGGACATCTGACTAGCTGCCTACATGCTCTCCTGGGTTAGTAGAGTATCCCCTATGAAAGTCCCTTGTTGTATTGGGATTTTTCTGGGCAGTACAACAAACAAGCCCAATTTTATGGTCATCCTGGAGCTTCTCTAACCTCCTGATCTTGTACAATAAACCCTTTCCTACTTACATCAGCTATTGTAGATTCTGTTGTCTGTAACCAACCACACTGACTGCTTTGCCCAAGAGAAGGTCTGATGAATATAGCCTGAAACACACTTCATATTTAATGGGGAGACTAGTGTTCTTGTCATGTAAATACAGGAGAGAGTTGTCCACACAACCTGGGGCTTGTGAGTATTCTGCCCAAGAGTCTAAATATCAGCTACTATATGCTAAAGAAAGAAATGAGATTTAGGGTTTGGAGTGTAGTTCAGCTTGTCCAGCATGCACAAGATCCTGAGTTTATTCCCAGCACTAAAGAGGGAGAGGAAGAGAAAGTGAGGGAAGGAGATTTAAGGAGATCATTATGAGTAACCTGATTGCACAATGTATGCATGTACTCACATATCATATGGCACCTCATTAATATTTCATGTCTTTGTTTTTATATGTAAGTTTAAATATATTTGATTTAAAAGGGAATAGAATAGTTGCAACTGTCCATATGATATGATTGGCTGCAAAGAAAAGCCAAGACCATATACAACCTATTAGAACTAGTAAGAGGGATTGACAAGGTATCTGGATGCCAAATCATTTTGCATAAGTCAAAACATTCTTAGCAGGCCAGTGAATGGCAGCAAGGGGCACTAGATACTTGTGGCTGTGTCCAGGGCACCGCCTCCCTCCTTACACTGGCCCTGTTCCTCTCACATGGACACAGCCCGACTCAGGGTCTCCTAGGACTAGGGTGCTGAGAACAGAGCTCAGAACATTTTTCCATGGAGGAGATCTTGGTACCTGAATAGAAGGAGTGATGGGTATGACCACTGGGAATGCTTTTAGTTGGCTTATAAAACACACCATAACTACAGACTCATAAAAAACACCCAGGTTCAATGAAGAGTCAGCAGTGAGTCTTCATTGAATAATGGAGCTCAGTGAAAGCTTTCCAGTCACGTGGTCTAAAGTTGTATGGCAATCTTAAAGCAAATGACTAGGTCAGAATAGAATTTAGGGAGTCTAGAAGCCACTGACATTGGAGTTCAGAAAAACAAACTGAGGAAGGGAAATGAAGGCTGGGCCAAATGTACTTAGATGCAGATGTGGATCAACAAATGGCTCCCTAGGCAGCCGGTGGTCTGGAGACAGATTTATGATTTTTTTTTTTTGTACTGGGAATTGAACTCAGGACCTTGCACTTGCCAGGCAGGCACTTATGCCACTGGGCTATATCCCCAACCCTGAGATCTATGATTTTTTTTGTTGTTGTTGTTGTTTTTCTCCGGTACCAGGAACCGAACTCATGACCTTGCGCTTGCCAGGCAGGCGCTTTGCCACTAAGCTAAATCCCCAGCCCGAGATCTATGATTCTTAAATGGGACTACACATTAGTTTGAAGTGGACCCTATAAAGAGCCACTCTGGGTGTTAGTCCGGGTCCTGAAAGGCACTTCTCTAAAGTGGGGCCCTAGAGTAGCTACTCCCAAGAAGAACGCGGGTCTCTGGGAAGCAAGTATACAATGGCCAAAGTGCTAGCCACTGCTGATAGAGAAATAATGGGTGTGGAATTAGTGATGAGGCTCTTGGGCAGAATGACTAGAATGAAGCTGCCAACATGGTTCGGAGGGTGCCACGCTGATTTACATTCCTCAGACACTGAGAGAAATATTGCTTTCCCCTTCTGCCTTTTTCCTAAAAAGTCACCCTTTAGTGCTGTGACTGGCAAATTTCACAGCCTAAGAAGTACCTCCTGGGCTAAGGGTAAAGGAACCATAGGAAGGAGGTACTGGCACAGCCAACCCCTGTATCAAAGGTCCCTGCATTTTATCTGTAATATAAAATTACAGATCTTTTTATCTGTAAATGTCTGTTTTCACACAACAAGAAACCTCTTTTCGCAGTAATTTCTATAGAGACAATGAGACTTTTGCTCAGAGTCAAATGTTGACTTTGCCAGCCAGACATCAGATGCCAAAATTTAGAGACCTCATTATGTTTCTACAGAGTGTTTGCCAAGCTTTAAATTACCCTGGGCAGTCTGCACTGCAAGAGAGTGGTTGTGGTCTTGGACAGCAATGAAGGGTCAACAAGTGGACCAGAAGGTCCCCTTGACATGAGCAACATAAACCACAGGGTGCTGAGAATAACCTGCAGAGTGGTGGTCTACCAATCAGCATCCCTTAATCCATCAACCAATATAAAGCTGCTCAAGACTTGAACAAGGTTTTTCCTGGAACTTGATGAACTGATCGTAAAACTCATATTGAAGGGAAGAGCCAAGATGATGTGGGAGAAGAGCAAGAACGGGCCTGCCCCAAGTGAGGCCCAACTCCATGGACCTCCGTGATGAGGCCAGCGTGGGTGGGAGTGAGGTAGACTGGAGAGCCCACACAGATGCAGGTTTCGGTGGGCACTGAGGTAGGCTCTGGGCAACCAGCCCTGCTGTGGCCTGGCTGTGCCAGGATCTTACAGCTGTGAGTCCAGGGAGGCTGGTCTCATGGCCACATTAGTACAGTCCTATAGGGTTCCCATAGATTGGCTGTGCATCTCAGAGGAAGCTCTCAGCTGCCACCAGTACCTTATCCACATAGCCCTCCTTGTCTCCTATATTGCTACCCCTTGTCCCCACGTCCTCAAGCCTAGGGGCTGTCCCTTCACTCCTACTGACTGAGGCTCTGCACTCTGGCTATATGCTGGCCTGGGGTCGACTTAGTACAATGGGCCTTCTGGGTCCTGTTGGCCTCTGAGGCTAGACAAGGGGCTGTCAATCCTCAGGAGGGGGACTGCCCCCTTTACACCATCCAGCGCGATCAGTTATGGGACTCAAGTAAAAATACCAAACTCCAAACACTTTAGAAAAATATAGAATAAATAGAATGTGGAAAATATAGAATACTTTCAGGACTTTCTGATACAGAAGAATTTTTTTAGTTTATTGGTACATGTGTGTAGTACATAACATTTACATCCTTGTGGGAAGTTGGTTCATGTACGTAAAACACCTTAATTCCTTTTTCCAACTCCTCTGCCTTTCCTCTCTCCCCCTTCCACCCATCTTTTGACCCCTTCTTTATTGGGGGGGTACATGTTTGTAGTACATAATGTTTACATTCCTTGTTGTACAGTTGGCACATGTAAGTAACACACCTCAATTCCCTTTTTTCACCCCTTTTCCTTCTCGTCCTGCGCCCTCCTCCATCTCTTCAACCCCTTCCTCCTAGAGAACAATGTGCCTCCCTACCTCCTATTAGCTATCTTTTATTTTGCTGTTCATTTTTTACTTTGGGTTTCTCATTTCAGAGAAACCATGTGATATTTAACTTCTGTGTCTAGGAAAGGATTTCATAAACAACATGAAGTGTACAAACAATAAAGGCAAAGGTTGACAGTTCTGACATTAAAATTGTATACTGGGCTCGGGCTATAGCTCAGTGGCAGTGCGCCTTCCTGCAAAATGCATGGTCCTGAGTTAGATTGCTGGTATCAAAAAAAAAAAAAAAAAAATTAAAAAAACAAACTACCTAACCAAAAGGAAAGGGCAAGCTCAAACCTGCCTCCAAAATCATTTCATGCAACCAAAGGTTGCTCCTGCCTAGATTTCACATGGAAGCCTACAATCTACAAAAAAGGCAGCCTGAAAGGAATGGGGTGGGAGAATGACTGGGAGCTGGCAGAGGCAGAGGCCTATACTCCCAGCAATCTGAGAAACTGGGACAGAAGAATCACAAGTGTGGGCCTGGCCTGGCAACTTATTAAGACTCTGTCTCAAAATTTTAAAAAAATGAGGGCCTGGGGTGTAGCTCAGTGACACAGTGCCTGCCTGGCAAGCAAGAGGCCCTGAGTTCAATTTCCAGTACCTCCCCCCACCCAAAAAACAAAAACAAAACAAAACAAAAACCGGGTGTGATGGTGCATGCCTGTAATCCCAGCATTTGGGACGCTGAGGCAAGAGGAGCATTGCAAGTTCGAGGACAGTCTGGGCTACAAAGTGAGCTCAAGGCCAGCCTGAACTGCATAGCAAGACCCTGTCTCAAAAAGACCAAAAAAAAAAAAAAAAAATACTGGGTTGGGTAGTTCAGTGTAAAGCCCTGGGTTCAGATCCTAGTAACTCCCCCCGACATATGCACATGCACACACAAATGCACAGAAGCAGACAGAGTCCACGAACACAGGTGAGACCATATTCCCAAGAGAAGCCCAAGTGGCTGATAAGCAGGATAGGGCCCCCACTAGCTTGCCCCCAGCTTGGAAGGGGCTTCCAGGGGATTCATAAGCTGCTCTATGGTGTCCAGTGCAGTGCAGACCTTTACCTGTAGCCCTACCTTCCTCCCCTGGGCCTCCCACAGACTGTCACACATAGTGGTTGATGATGCAGAAACGTGCTCCAGCCCTCCCAGAGGAGGAGGCTATGTAAGTACCTTGGGAATACACAGGAATGAAATCCCACGTGACAAGTCTGCCAGCTCCTCAGCATCTCCAGGGCCTGTGTCCCCTGGCTCAGCCCCTAGGAGTTAGGGTCACCCATCTGGAGGCCATGAGGGTGACAGAAGTGGAGAGCCATCTGCCCACTTTTGGAACTCTCTGCCTTGCCCTTTTCTGGAGAGGCTGTGGGATGGGGACCCTGGACATCTGCTGACTGCTGGGACAGCACTGGGCTTCTTCCACTCCAGGGTCCCTTTGGATTCCAACAGAGTTAGCCTTACTGCAGGGATGGCCCCCTAGTGGTCCCTCAGGCCCAGCACACCACCCCATCCTTGCAGGCCCCCTGGCAGCAAGGAGGAGATGGATGGACACACACCTGGATGATCTTCTCCGGAATGTTGGAGACAGTGAAGCCATAGAGGCGCACACGCTCCGGGAAGATGCTGGACAGGATCCTGCGGTCCAGCTGGAAGGCGATCTCCCCGACTAGCCTCTCCCAGGCCACTTGCTTCGTCTCTGGAGATGACAGAAGGTCTCAGCTGAGTGGGGGGTGGGGAGGGAGTGGTAGGGACCACATCAGAAGTCCAGGGAGGTGGCACAGCAGATGACCTGGGGATCCCCAGGAGAGCGCCAAGCCCTGTGATGTCACTGACCTCGGGAGCTGTCAGGGAATTTGCTAGTTTTGCGGTGGGTCAGCTTCCGCTCCAACTCCGGGATGCTTTTCCGATTTGTCTCCGTGGTTCGTGAACCCCGGGTGTCCGGGACCGAAGCCGGGAAGGATGAGGTGCGAGGTGGAGTGTGAGGGTTTCGTGGAGGAGAGTTGGGGCTGGGCAGTGGCCGGGAGGTGGAATGGGAAGTACTCAAGGGGGTGTAGCTGGCAGCAGCTTGGGGGGCAGGGGTAGGGGCAGAGTTGAGGACTCTGCCAGCTGGGGAGCTGGTTGAAGAGGTGGGCATGGAGATAGGAACCTTATGTCCTTGGGGAACACTAGGCTGGGCCTGGACATCTGAGGTGCCATAGGAGAAGGCCATCATTGGACCAGGCGTGGCTACAGTACCCACAGCGGTGGAGGTCTGGAGGGGTGTGCCCATAAATGCCACGCTGAGGGGCTCTGGGCCTTGGGTGGGCTGTGGGTGTTCACTGGAGAGTGCTAGTGATTTGGGAGGGGGCAAACATGAGAGGAGGGGCATTAGAGAGCAGCAGGACATAAGCAGAGACTGGCCCTCCCAGGACACCCTGCACCCCTGCCCTGCCCCTGTTACCTTTGGAGATGGCTGCGTGCCCTGTCCCAGCCGAGGAGGGGGGCCCAGAGGGGCTTCCTTGCAGTGGCTCTGCCAGCCGCAGCCTTGGGGCCTCTGACAGCACCAGGCTGCTCATGGGGTTGGCTGGAAGGTTCTGGGAGACACCTACAGGGGTAGCTGTGGAGGTGAGCAGGGGGCTGCTTAGAGAGACAGCAACTGTGCCTGCCACAGGGGCCATCAGGGGGCTGCTTTTAGACATGGCCAGGGAGCTGGTCAGGGTGGCCCCAGGGGATACTGCCATGGGACCCATCAGGTGGTTGCTCAGGGGGCTGGTGGAGGGCAGCCCCAGAGAGCTGGCCAAGGTACCCCCTGGAGAAATGGTCATGGGACCAGCCAGGTGGCTGCCCAGGGAGCCACTCAGGATGCTGGAGAACGGACTGCTCTGTGACCCAGGTGCTGGGCTGGACAGCAGCGTGTTGAAAGGACCCGTCAGGGGGCTCATGAGAGAGCCAGCTGTAGGGCTGGGGTGTGGGCTGCTCAGCATGTCGACCAGGGGTGCCAGGGCTACAACCCCTACTTCGTCCAGGACTGGTTCATTTGCTGCTGCTGGGGACGGGGACAAGAAGACACCTGGGAGACACAGAGAGAGCACTGAGACCCCAGATGAATCCAACAGGAGCAAGGGAGAGGCAGGCAGGGCCTAGAGAAGGTGCTGGGCTGCCTCACTTCTTACAGGGTCAGGGTGATGACCTATAGGACAGCTAGGGGACATTCCATGACTACCTTGGAGGACCCTGGATTTGGGGCCCATTGCAGCCCTCAGTCGTGCCCTCTGCACTGAGCTAAGGATCCCTCACCCAGGAAAGGAGTTTCTCACTGGCTAGACTACCATGTAGCCAAGTTGGTCTCTGGTGGAGAGAGGTGGGCCCATTCCTTCCGGTGACTATCCTTATGGTAGACAGGAGCCCCACTAGACAGGGGTCAGAGTTTCCACAGGTAGAGCCTGACATGGCCCAGGGCATACACACAGTCCACCTAAGTAGGGAATTCGGGTTTAGGAGGGCAGGTAGGACCCCTGGACTCCTGTATGGGGTTCTGGAAGCCCATTTTCCATGTGCTCTGGAGATCTCCTTTGAATGACCATGCTTGGGGAGAAGTCCTTTGGAAGTGTAGTTGTTTTTGTGGGGATGCAATTTAGCTTATAACTTCCACTTTGTTGTTATTGGTATAAAAGCAACACACACTTCTTGTAGGGAAAGACTAGAAACACAGAAAATAAAAAATATGAAAAACTACTGAGCTGGGCATGGTGGTGCACGCCTGTAATCCCAGCACTCAGGAGGCTGAGGCAGGAGGATCGTTGTGAGTTTGAGGCCAGCCTAGGCTTCAAAGTGAGCACAAGGTC